TCTCATTAGACTGACATGTTAAAGGTAACTTCTTAGTAAACAATTGCTATCTCTAGAAGAAAGTTTCCATGTTTTACTGAGTTCAAGAATAATCTACTCTCATTAGACTGACACTGTTAAAGGTAACTTCTTAGTAAACAATTGCTATCTCTAGAAGAAAGTTTCCATGTTTTACTGAGTTCAAGAATAATCTACTCTCATTAGACTGACACTGTTAAAGGTAACTTCTTAGTAAACAATTGCTATCTCTAGAAGAAAGTTTCTATGTTGTGTTTTATGTAGATATGTACGTGCACTTCTAAATTTCAAAGTGTTCTGTTCACTGATCCTCGTAACCCTGTCTATCCAGTATACAGTTGTACCAAGAGGTCAGTTAGACTCCTCTAATTACATTTCCATCGTAAATGTACGTAAGACCATTTTATCGTATTAAAAAACATCATGAAACATTTATATACTTTAATATATGGCTGTTCCGTAGAATATAAAATGTTTCTACGTTTTCTCCCTTCTATTTCTTCTTGCTTCGTTTATACATCTCGCCTTATTTGAAAAGAATTGGACAATAAATAACAACGAAAAAAAAAAATAAAGCTTAAACGTTAATCTGCACAAACCGTAAATTTTATGTAGCGTTATATTCTAGGCAATTTCGCAGTAAAAATTAAAAATTGTTATGACAATATACTGAAGATTACTTTTTAATACTAAGTATAAGTAATAAAACATAGCACGCTAATAACCCAAAATATAGGGTATTTGAATGTCACTGACTAGTGGGTGTTGTTTTGCTGTTGTCAGAAAGTATGTGTTAAATGTGTTTCCCTTTTTTATACGTATGGTTTAATACTATTTAAATCGTTGATAAAATCTTATTTTTTTACTTACAACATATATGACATGTTAATCTAATTTTGTCTGTAAAACAAAAATTACGTAGATTATCATTCATGAAGAATGTGGTTGAATAAGACTGTTGATTTATGTGATATGAAGAAAATACGGAAGGATTAAAGCGATAGACTCTTGTATGCTTACACCAGCACATAGTAGCTACAAATATCAACACACATATACAAGCCAGGAACTGATAAAACTTCAGGTATCGTTTAAACACTTCCAAAATGTCCTCAATCAAAGTGTTAAAAGCATGATGATTGGATGGCACTAGATAACACAAGTGAACACATTCCAACGTTTGATATTTTGATTCAGAGTTGAATTTTGAACAGATCGGCCCTCAGAATAGTACCAACATTGATTTTGTATGCGTTAGATCTTATCCGAGCACTATACATTTATACGTGTATTAAGCTGGATAGTGACAGAGCACTATACGTTTATACGTGTATTAAGCTGGATAGTGACAGAGCACTATACATTTATACGTGTATTAAGCTGGATAGTGACAGAGCGCTATACATTTATACGTGTATTAAGCTGGATAGTGACAGAGCACTATACATTTATACGTGTATTAAGCTGGATAGTGACAGAGCACTATACATTTATACGTGTATTAAGCTGGATAGTGACAGAGCACTATACATTTATACGTGTATTAACCGAAATAAAATGAAATAATAAATATATAGTTGTGTTATGTAATTTAACTCTGGCCGAGATAGCTTAGTAATTAGTGTATCCGTAATGTAGATCTCAGAGCTCCTGGTTTGCGTCCCTTTGCCGGGCAAATGCTCCTGTGGGTGCGTTATAAGAATGACTGTCAGCAAATTCCACTGTTTGATTACACAAGATTAACCTGAGAGTGCTGATGACTACTAGGCCTTTTAGTCTATCAGTTCAAAATTAAGGACAGCCATGCACATGTAGCTCATCTGTTGCTTTGGGCGAAAATTCTCAAACAAGTAATATAAAAAAATTGATTCAACTGATTGGGCACAAATAATTAGGCCTATTTTCTAATCAGTATTTATTGGAAGAACAATCATATGAACTTACACTTGTACTCTTGTACTCAACTCGTATAGAGGGCGGTGGTTAGGGCGCTCGACTCGCAAACTGAGGGTCGCAGGTTCGAATCCCCGTCACATCAAACATGCTCGCTCTTTCGGCCGTGGGGGCGTTATAAAGTGACGGTCAATCCCACTATTCGTTGGTAAAAAGAGTAGCCCAAGAGTTGGCGTTGGGTGGTGATGACTAGCTGCCTTCCCTCTAGTCTTTTGATGCTAAATTAGGGACGGCTAGAACAGATAACCCTCGTGTAGCTTTGCGCGAGATTCAAAAAACAAACAAACAAACCATTATGGTGGCTTATTTCACTTATAATTCTATATAAAAGAAACTTGAGCATATCAAAAGTGAAGACATTTTTTTGCATTACGACTATTTTCTATGAATTTATTACAGGTTATAAAATGATATATAGATATATATATAATTGTATTTATTTAGTGTTTTAATCGGATTGGGGAAACTTTTCGAGGTAGGTTAAAAAATACTTTGGTATTATATATGAAGACTTTTTTTGCATTACGACTATTTTCTATGAATTTATTACAGGTTATAAAATGATATATAGATATATATAATTGTATTTATTTAGTGTTTTAATCGTATTGGGGAAACTTTTCGAGGTAGGTTAAAAATACTTTGGTATCATATATGCAAATATTTTTAGGTT